TGTCGAGTACATGTTCTCACAAAGTCGGGGAATACCTCAAATCTTTTTCACCACCTGAAGCAGCGCCACGCCGCAGAGCACGCGCAACGCAAAAGGTCACAAACCCCGAGAGGAGCGAGGAGCCAATGGCGCCTGAAACAGACGACCATTCAGTCGGCTTTCTCTAGAGCGACGCCTTACGACAAAACGCCAAAGAGACACAAAGACCTCACAGATGCAGGAGATTATTGTGTTGGAAAAGACATGAGACCAATAAACACTGTTACAGTTTTATATCCTGATATTGATCGATATCGACTGATTTAAAAATATATGTATATCGTGATAAACTTTTTCCCATATCGCCCAGCCCTACCTGGACTAATATAAACCCCATTGTTCCAGCTTTGACCCGGTATAAACTCAGAATTAAGCCTGCAACATTAAAACCAAATAAAACCCTGTTCTGATCCGGTATCGATCGGGATTTATCCTGGTAATTTTTAAGAGCTTCTCCTCTACCCACTCAGTATGAACCCGGTACTTTTCCGGTTCTCACCCGATCGTTTTCCGGTATTAACCCGGTCCTAACACAATGTTGTTGACCCGGTATGAACCCGTCTTTCCTTACCAGCACGGGGCTCCGGGCTCGGGGCTGCAGGCTGGACAGGCGGCGGGCTAGCAGGGCTCGGTAGCTGCTCTCCGGATCGTCCTCCAGAGCGACGCTGTCCGGCTGTGAGTCCTCCACGATCAGGCACGGGTTCTCGGGCTGGGGCAGGCTGGAGTCCAGTTCCCCTGCTCCGGGATCCATGAGGTCAGACCGGGACTCGAGGAGGAGCGGAGCGGGCTGATGTTAGCTGGAGGAGCGGACACACAGCCGGGATCGACGGGTTAGCTTCAGCTAGCCCAGGAGGCTACCCGGCGGAGCTAACAGCATTCAGCCGCAGTCAGAGGGGCTAACAGCTAACAGCTAAGGATCTCGACATTCTCGAGGTTCTCCCCGTCAAACCTCCACTCAAACCGGAAGCTCTGTAGGTCAGTGTGTTCACATGTAAACGGAGTTAAAGTTCAGTCCACAGTTTACAGACTGAGAACAGCCTACCCTCCAAACACACACACTCTCACACACACACACCCACTGCAGGGATGCTCCTCCGCTTTCCGCGGCAAAACTCAATTCGAGCCTCCTGATTGGTCCCGTTGATGCGATGACGTAACACATTAACGCTTGTTGGTTTGATGGTTGTTGGGTCATTTCAGTAGCCCCGTTTATGTGGGTAGCTTTCCTCAATCTGATTGAAATCAATCGGATTAAGTAAATCTGATTCCATCTGTATTCATGAACTTTAAGTAAAGAGATCCATGGCCCCAGCTGAATCCGATTAGCCCCGTTTACATGGGTCCAAAAATCCTATTTACAATCAGATTGAAAGTCAATCAGATTCAAAATGTCTCATATCAACACCTTAGCCAATCTGATTCACCCGGATCTCATTGTATTTCGGGTCGGATCATAAGAGGTAGTCTACGACGATTGATAATCCGCTCCATGCTCCATATATACGGCTGAGTGGAGCGGATTGGGTTTACAGAGAGGCTTGTTGAGAGAGGCTTGAGGCGGATCCATCTTTCTACAGGTAAACAGAAAGCAGGAAGTGCACCTCTTCTTCTCCTACACATTTGCAGGTAGTGGCAGAGTGACCTTCTGCACATGTAAAAAAAAACAATACAATCAGATTCAGCTGGGGGCGTGCAAATGCGGATTGAACGTGGACCTCTTTACTTAAAGTTCATGTATACAGATGGAATCAGATTCACTTAATCCGATTGATTTCAATCAGATTGAGGAAAACTACCCAAATAAACGGGGCGAATCGGCATAGACTACCTCTTACGATCCGACCCGAAATACAACCAGATCCGGGTGAATCAGATTGGCTAAGGTGTTTGTATGAGACATTTTGAATCTGATTGACCTTTCAATCTGATTGTAAATAGGATTTTTGGACCCATGTAAACGGGGCTAGTGTCAGAGAGAAACGAATATTTCAGCCTCATTTAGCAGTCTGTGTTTTTATTATATTTGTACAAAATTTGTATAAATGACAGCAGGTCACTTCACTGTGTGTGTGAGCCCACACACTGATCAATTCAAGTATTACAAACCCTTATATTTGATCTTTAAAACAAGATATTCCTTTATTAATCCCACAGGGGGAAACTTTAAATTACAGCAGCATATAAACACAAAAAGAGAAATTAAAGGATGAAGAAACTTAGAGTTAAAAAAGATACACACATGAGGGTTATTTACAGCTGCAAAAATGCACTAAAATATCAGCCCCTCTATTACCCTGATCTGGTGTGTCTGAGGTCCTGCTCCCTGTCTGCATTATTGATCTTCTCTCTGATATCTGTAATCGAGAACACGCTGCAGATCTGTCTGCTCCCATGCAGGTTTCCTTTGTGGTGATAAATGATGTGCAGCAGAGGAATCTGGGCCGACCTGTCCCATGGAGGATCTGTTAGACCTTGAGAGGTCCTTGTGAGGCGTTCAGGGACTCCAGTAAAATCAGATATAGGTCACAGTCCTTCCCTCTGTTAACACACTGCTCATTTATTTTCTGCAGATTCTCTCTCTGCATGCTGATCCCTCTCTTTACTGTTCATAATTTATCATCCACAGGTGAGCATGACACACCTGAGTGAGTATCTCAAATATTTAACATGAAAAATATGATCTAAGAGGTCCTATCTTCATCGAACCCTGCACACAGTCCTTTCTCCTGGGCTTGGACCAGGTTTAAAGGTCCCGCTGTTAAAGGTTCAGGTTCAAGCAGGCGTGTTGATTTAAGAGGTTTTCATGATGTGACGCTCGCAGCTTTAAGGATGAACAGACTCCTCTGTAATATTAACATCACTTTGTCATCATGGTTTGACAGCCTCTGTTTCCATGGCGACAGCAGGTCTCTAACAGTGCAGATAGATCACAGAGAGATTCGGAGAATAAAACACGAATAACAAGAGGACTGAGAGGAGAGGAGAGTCTGCAACAGCAATGAAGCCCTGCAGGGAGACCAGTCAGGCTGGGAGGACGTGAGACCACATCACCCCCCCACACACACACACACACCTTCTTCATCAGGAGAGAGGAAGACTTTGATTTACCTCACACAGTGAAAAGCAGCTGTCAGTACAGAGGTTTAACGTCTTTGCCCTCAGTTTGTATTCAGACTCTTAGACAAAACCAGGGACACAAACGTACACGTGTTTCAGTCAGAACCATGTTATATTTGTTTTTAATATGTTATATTTGGTAGTACTGCTCTGTTTAGAGAGCTCCAAAAGACGAAGGCAGGGAGGAGACAGGATGGGGGACTCTAAGACAGCTGTATATTGTTTATATGGTCTATAATTTATATCTAATCATTTATAAAATGTGCCTTTTCTGCAGGAATTTTTCTGCAACAATTCAGGAACCTTTTAGGTTCTGTCGGACCAGAAGTTCCTGATACTTTAGGCCTGGTGGTGTATGCTCACCTCATATTAGGAGGTTATTCTGTGTGGTTCTCTTCTCTCATGTTCTCTCTCTCTCTCTCCTCTGTCCAACCCTCTCCAAACAAAAGAAAACAAGTCTGAAAACATCAACGTTCCCGAAACTCTCAGTTCAGAGATTCTTTTCTCTTTAGAAGACAGAATGGTCCCTGTGGTCCTGAAGTCGAAGGTCCAGGACAGATATGAAGATCAGCTGTTCATTTGAGTCTTCACAAACTGTGTTGGCAGCAGGTACACACAGGTGTCAGATCATCTCCTGTCACGTGATCACCTGAATAACAGGTAGACTGATGATGTCACGGGGGATCATCCGTTCACTTACAGGTAAACAAGTTTAATATCAGGTAATATTAATATTAGGTAAGTGAGAGCTGAACTGACCACACACAGGGGTTAGACTGACCTTATCTGTGTGTGTGTGTGTGTGTGTGTGTGTCTCCTGTCAGGCAGAGCTGAGGGCAGACTGAGCTCAGGCTCTCAGCAGCATGAACACAGATGAGCTCCAAACATGAGAGAGCAGAGAGGAGGAGAAACAATGACCGCATCCTACCTCCACACACACACACACACACACACACACACACACACACACACACACACACACACACACACACACACACACCTCTACAGTGATATAAACAGGTATAATCTGTGCAGTAAAACATAAATACACAGTATAAGATAGGGATGAGGATCAGGAGGCTGCAGGTCTGAGTCTCGTTCAGCCTCTGTGACCAAAAACTTGAGCGTCATCTCTTTAGGCTCACACACACACACACACACACACACACACACACACACACACACACACACACACACACACAGCTCCCTGCAGAGAAAATATATATTCTTACCAGGATGATGAGCCGTCTGTCTGCGTCTGTGTTTCAGCCTCTCTGTCGCTCTGAGAGGAAAATCACGTCCTGCATCGCTCTCTGCTTCCTCTCCTCTGTTTGCAGAGTCAGTCAGGGTGTGGAGACACACACACACACACACACACTCACACACACACTCACACACACAGTGCATAGAGATGTGGAGGAATCTGAAACTGAAGGTAAACGTTGGTCAGCTGATGGTATGAAAATGTTAAACTGAGTCATTAGTAGATTATTCTGGTAGATGTAATTGAATTATTCTAAATGTGTGTTAATGTTAGAGTTAGAGATTGATAATAAACTGATCAGTTCTACATTGATCAATAGTTTCTCCTTCATTTAGGCTCTTCCTAACGTCTGATTGTCTTTGTGGGAAGTCTGAATATATATCTCCATTATTCATCCAGACTGTCTGACAAACATCAGAGCAGCTTCAGGGTCAGTGTTAGGCTCATCTAGGTGACACACACACACACACACACACACACACACACACACACACACACACACACACACACACACACACACACACACACACACATATTAACAGAAAAGATTCACATTGATTCAACATTTATGATCAAATATGATCTCTTTGTTTGTGACTGACCCATTGACTGTATATAGAATATACAGTATATATTATAGTATATAATATAGTATATACGGTCTGTGGTGATACCTCTCTTTAAACATCATCACAGTTTTATCAGCTGTTTATTGATCACCACCAGGTTTTTATTACAGTATCATGAATGTGACTTCTCTGAATAAAGATCATCTTTACTGGAACAAAATTGATCAGAAAGGTTTTACAGTTTCAGCTCCTCTCTGAGGAATAATCTGATCCTGTAGTTCACTCTCTAACCAGCAGGGGGCAGCATACACTGAGCAGAGAGAGAGAGGAGTGAGGAGTGCTGACTCACTGCAGATCCACACACACACACACACACACACACACACACACACCTGAGAACCGATTTCAAACAAAGGGGAGGGGTTAAACCAATCAGAGCTCAGTTCCAGCTAGGGCTCGGGTAAAATTTAAAACAGAAAATAAAGCAAAAAACAAAAAACAAAAAACATGTAAATAATAACAATAATAATAATAATAATAATAATAATAATAATAAAAAATAATGATAATAATAATAACAACAACAACAACAATAATACCAATAATAATTTTAATTTTTAGGCGCCTTCGCATTTTGATCCCTCAGGTGCGTCCCAGGAAATTAAGAGACTGAGATGTCTTATTTTTCCCAGAGTATCACATGAAGCAAAGCCATGAGGGGATCAGCTCTGGATCAGCTGATCAGCTCTGGATCAGCTGTCAGTCAGCTGTAACAGCTGTTTGAGTCTGAGCACATGTGCTCTGGAGAGTTTCTGGTCTCAGTGTCTGTTCAGTGACGGATCAACTGAAAACTTAGAGATTGAATAAAACATCTGCTTTGGTGTCCAACCCATAAATAATCATCCGACCAAATGTTTGATAAGAACATAACGATGACAGACAACGTCAGAGTTTAGCACCAAAAATGAATGTGACAACCGACCCCGGTCTCCCCTACTCTGCCATACTCACCAAAGGTTCAGAAAATGAGTGAACTGCTCCTTTAAACACTGATCGATGCTTAAAGCTGCTTCTATTTGATCATCAATAAAGGTGTGTAGAGTCTGCTAAACTGTTCTTATTGATAAACTGTGAGATTTAATTACATCTGTATATGATGATGTAGTTGATAAATGACAATGTAGTGTTTTGCTGATAATGTTATTAAGTGGTGATAATGCAGTTTTGTTGTGATAATGCAGTTTTGTGGTGATTATTTAGTTTTGTGGTGATAATATAGAAAGTGAATATTTTTGGTTAAAGGTGGTGGATCCTTCCTGTCCAGGGTCTTCTGCTCTGTGACAGGATCAGAGAACGTGTCTCCACCTTTACCTGAGGGTGGAGCAGAGTTTTCACAGACGCTCCACCAGAGCCTCCTCTCCCCCTGAACCTGAACACACCTACTGGCCCGTTTCTCCTGGTTTACTTCATCATATGAAGACAGATGAAGTTTGAACCGTCAGCATCACTCTGAACTCTGGTGTTGTTTTTAATATATCCACTTCACCTTTGTGAAATTAAGCAGACTGGATGTCTGTCGGATCTTAAAATATCCTTAAAACAGAGCTCACTGTTGGATCTCCGCTCTCTGCAGAGTTTAATCCGGTTTTTCTGTCGTCTGTGAAACAAAGAGGTGTCAGAGTAAACGCTCAGCCTGGTACTCAGTCAGATATAAATAGAGCCTTTGTTTCAGAAGAAATCTTATTTTCAGAGAGCTTTGTGTCTGCACAGAGGAGCACAGAGATACCAGGATTTATTCAGACACACTCAGTGACCCCAGACTCGGCGTCTAAAGAGAATAAACATCATTAAAGGATCAACTTTCTGGATGGAGCAGCTCTTGGGTTCAGCTGAAACTGCCAGGTTACTCTAATGTTTGAGAAAAAGACGATCACCTGAGCTCATCAGTCTGAAGTTAACTCTTTTTTTTCTCTATAATGTGATGAGAGTGAAACCAAGACAGCAGACACAGAGAGTCATGAATCTGAGGAAATGAGACAAACTGAGGAGAGTCAAAGCCGTGACCGTGAGTTCATGAAAACACTCAAACTCTGTGAGTGGGTAAACGTCTGTGGGGACCTGAACGTGTCTGACATGATGGTTTTTATCTACAGTGAATAAATTCCTCTCTTCACTCTGATACTTTGATGAAATATGATCCTCATTAAATCTTTCATCTCTCCCTCATCCAATCAGACGCTCAGACGTCAAATAGCCACATCACCTTCCACCCAATCGTACGCTCAGCCAGCACAGGGCCACGCCCCTTCTGCCCACCCCACTCGTCCTGCACCGTCATGGTGCTTGCTCTGGATGCAGTTGTCATGGAGATGGAGACGGGCTCGGCGTCGACCGGCGGCTCTGTTACCATGGAGACGGAAGCAGCAGCAACGAGCGCGGAGCCGCTGAGAAAGCATCGCATGCTGATCCTGATCGGAGAGATCGCCACCTGTCATCACCTGGACGCCGTCAGGACGCAGATACAGCAAGGTGAGGTGTGTGTGTGTGTGTGTGTGTGTGTGTGTGAGACTCAGCTCAGAGCTTCCTGCAGCTCCTCAGACCTGCTCCTGTATTGAAAGATGTTCTCACCCGTGTCTGCAGCTCTCTGCCCTCTCAATCTGCGTCTCTAAATCGGTGACCGTCAGATAAAAAAGGATCTGTTCTCCTCAGGTCGTGTGAGCGCGCTCAGTCTGCAGCAGAGCGTCCATCAGCTCAGCTTCAGTCATCCGCAGCCCTTCAAATCTGATCAGATTCTATTCTAATCAGTTTATACGCTGTTTTTCAAGGTTGTAATACATGCAGGTTTGTTCTCAGTGATGGTAGAGACGATCTCCAGAATCATGACCCGGCCACAGATCATGATGGAGATAAAGGATGCTGACGTTTGTCCAACAACTCGTGTCAAACATCTCAAATAAACAAACTATCTTTAAAAACATGAAATTGAAATGTGATGGTCCTCCGAGGATCTGTGTGAATTCAGACTGAAGCTGGAGTTCTGCTCCTGTTCTTACTGACTGACAGTAAACTCAGGTGAGCTCTGTCAAAATCAGGATCAGAACACTGGATTTATTCTCAGGGGGAATTTGGTCATTAGAGTTTTACACATCTGCTTTAGAAAGTACAAACGTTAGAAGAAGGAGGACAGAAACAGGCATGAATGAGAACAAATAAGAAACTACTGTTAGTAAAAAGGGCAGAATATTAGAAATAAAGAAGTTTACAAAGAGTGTTAAAGAAGGCAGAGGAGTCGATAAAACAGAGTCAGACGTGCTGTTAGAGTACAGTATAAAAAATACAATACAGCCCTACAAACACAGGTGAGTCTGAACCTTACAGCAGGTGAGTCCTGAGTTTGAGTTCATAAGGATTTGAGTTCGAAGAAAGAGACGCGTTGTTGTCCTCACCTGTCCTCAGCGTAGATTTAACTCACCTGTCCTCAGCGTTGTTGTCCTCACCTGTCCTCAGCGTTGTTGTCCTCACCTGTCCTCAGCGTTGTTGTCCTCACCTGTCCTCAGTGTTGTTGTCCTCACCTGTCCTCAGCGTTGTTGTCCTCACCTGTCCTCAGCGTTGTTGTCCTCACCTGTCCTCAGCGTAGATTTAACTCACCTGTCCTCAGCGTTGTTGTCCTCACCTGTCCTCAGCGTTGTTGTCCTCACCTGTCCTCAGCGTTGTTGTCCTCACCTGTCCTCAGCGTTGTTGTCCTCACCTGTCCTCGGCGTTGTTGTCCTCACCTGTCCTCAGCGTTGTTGTCCTCACCTGTCCTCAGCGTAGATTTATCTCACCTGTCCTCAGCGTTGTTCTACTCACCTGTCCTCAGCGTTGTTGTCCTCACCTGTCCTTAGCGTTGTTGTCCTCACCTGTCTTCAGCGTTGTTGTCCTCACCTGTCCTCAGCGTAGATTTAACTCACCTGTCCTCGGCGTTGTTGTCCTCACCTTACCTCAGCGTTGTTGTCCTCACCTGTCCTCAGCGTTGTTGTCCTCACCTGTCCTCAGTGTAGATTTAACTCACCTGTCCTCAGCGTTGTTGTCCTCACCTGTCCTCAGCGTTGTTGTCCTCACCTGTCCTCAGCGTTGTTGTCCTCACCTGTCCTCGGCGTTGTTGTACTCACCTGTCCTCAGCGTAGATTTAACTCACCTGTCCTCAGCGTTGTTGTCCTCACCTGTCCTCAGCGTTGTTGTACTCACCTGTCCTCAGCGTTGTTGTCCTCACCTGTCCTCGGCGTTGTTGTACTCACCTGTCCTCAGCGTTGTTGTCCTCACCTGTCCTCGGCGTTGTTGTCCTCACCTGTCCTCAGCGTTGTTGTACTCACCTGTCCTCGGCGTTGTTGTCCTCACCTGTCCTCAGCGTTGTTGTCCTCACCTGTCCTCAGCGTTGTTGTCCTCACCTGTCCTCAGCGTTGTTGTCCTCACCTGTCCTCAGCGTAGATTTAACTCACCTGTCCTCAGCGTTGTTGTCCTCACCTGTCCTCAGCGTTGTTGTACTCACCTGTCCTCGGCGTTGTTGTCCTCACCTGTCCTCGGCGTTGTTGTCCTCACCTGTCCTCAGCGTTGTTGTCCTCACCTGTCCTCAGCGTTGTTGTCCTCACCTGTCCTCAGCGTTGTTGTCCTCACCTGTCCTCAGCGTTGTTGTACTCACCTGTCCTCAGTGTTGTCCTCACCTGTCCTCAGCGTAGATTTAACTCACCTGTCCTCAGCGTTGTTGTCCTCACCTGTCCTCAGCGTTGTTGTCCTCACCTGTCCTCAGCGTCGTTGTCCTCACCTGTCCTCAGCGTTGTTGTCCTCACCTGTCCTCAGCATTGTTGTACTCACCTGTCCTCAGCGTTGTTGTCCTCACCTGTCCTCAGCGTTGTTGTACTCACCTGTCCTCAGCGTTGTTGTCCTCACCTGTCCTCAGTGTAGATTTAACTCACCTGTCCTCAGCGTTGTTGTCCTCACCTGTCCTCGGCGTTGTTGTCCTCACCTGTCCTCAGCGTTGTTGTACTCACCTGTCCTCAGCGTTGTTGTCCTCACCTGTCCTCAGCGTTGTTGTCCTCACCTGTCCTCAGCGTTGTTGTCCTCACCTGTCCTCAGCGTTGTTGTCCTCACCTGTCCTCAGCGTTGTTGTCCTCACCTGTCCTCAGTGTAGATTTAACTCACCTGTCCTCAGCGTTGTTGTCCTCACCTGTCCTCAGCGTTGTTGTCCTCACCTGTCCTCAGCGTTGTTGTCCTCACCTGTCCTCAGCGTTGTTGTCCTCACCTGTCCTCGGCGTTGTTGTCCTCACCTGTCCTCGGCGTTGTTGTACTCACCTGTCCTCGGCGTTGTTGTCCTCACCTGTCCTCAGCGTTGTTGTCCTCACCTGTCCTCAGCGTTGTTGTCCTCACCTGTCCTCAGTGTAGATTTAACTCACCTGTCCTCAGCGTTGTTGTACTCACCTGTCCTCAGCGTTGTTGTCCTCACCTGTCCTCAGCGTTGTTGTCCTCACCTGTCCTCAGCGTTGTTGTCCTCACCTGTCCTCAGTGTAGATTTAACTCACCTGTCCTCGGCGTTGTTGTCCTCACCTGTCCTCAGTGTAGATTTAACTCACCTGTCCTCAGCGTTGTTGTCCTCACCTGTCCTCAGCGTTGTTGTCCTCACCTGTCCTCAGCGTTGTTGTCCTCACCTGTCCTCAGCGTTGTTGTCCTCACCTGTCCTCAGCGTTGTTGTCCTCACCTGTCCTCAGCGTTGTTGTCCTCACCTGTCCCCTCTCTACAGGTTTGCGTTCATGGAGCATTGATCTGGAGGTGTGTGACCTGAACAAAGAGCTGCAGCTGTTTGAGAGCAGACACACGGCACAGTTCTCCTCACAGGTCAAAGGTCAGTTTCAACATTTCAACATCACCAATCATAGTCTCTGTCCTCTCTATGAGGAGGTGTCTGTCTCTCTGTCTGTGTCCTCTTTTCAGAGACAGAGCTGAGGACATTCAGTCGTATTGATGGTTTTCAATCAGAGGATCAATACGACTGAATATTTCAGCATCAGTGTCTAATTTGACCTCAGCTCTGTGAGCCCACTGAGACACCCAGACACTGTCTCTGTCCGTCTGTGTGTCTGTGTGTCTGTGTGTCTGTCTGTCTGTCTGTCTGTCTGTCTGTCTGTCTGTAAGTGTGTCAGTGAACACTGTGCTGGCAACAGTGTAAGGGGCCTCTAGAACGGTGAGTTCTGAAATGCTTGGTTCTTGAATTCTGTTTTCTTGACAGTTTGGTTTCTAGAATATGATGTGCTGGAATGCTGGGTTCTAGTGGACCAGGTTCTGGAATTCTGGGTGCAAAGATGCTTGGTTCTGGAGTGCGGCTTTCAGAAATGTGTTGCTTGGTTCTGTGTTGCTGGGTTCTGTGTTGCTGGGTTCTGCATTGCTGGGTTCTGGGTTGCAGGGTTCTGGGTTGCTTGGTTCTGCGTTGCTGGGTTCTGGGTTGCTTGGTTCTGGGTTGCTTGGTTCTGGGTTGCTTGGTTCTGGGTTGCTGGGTTCTGGGTTGCTTGGTTCTGGGTTGCTGGGTTCTGGGTTACGGGGTTCTGGGTTGCTGGGTTCTGGGTTGCTTGGTTCTGTGTTGCTGGGTTCTGCGTTGCTTGGTTCTGGGTTGCTGGGTTCTGGGTTACGGGGTTCTGGGTTGCTGGGTTCTGGGTTGCTTGGTTCTGGGTTGCTGGGCTCTGGGTTGCTGGGTTCTGCGTTGCTTGGTTCTGGGTTGCTGGGTTCTGGGTTGCTTGGTTCTGGGTTGCTGGGTTCTGGGTTACGGGGTTCTGGGTTGCTGGGTTCTGCGTTGCTGGGTTCTGGGTTGCAGGGTTCTGGGTTGCTGGGTTCTGGGTTGCGGGGTTCAATACTCCTTGGTTCTGCGGTGCTTTGTTCTGGATCAGAGGGTTTTGAAATGTGTTTCCTAAATGTTTGGTCCCACAGTGTCCGGTTCTGAGTCCTGGTTCTGTAGTGCCACAGTCTCCCTTGTAGTTTCCTGAAGTGCTCGGTCCTTGAATGCTGGTTTCTGGATTTCAGCTCTTCACCATCTCTTAGCGTGTAATGTCACCATATAACCTCCGTACATCAACATCATCCAGGATTCACCGAGCAGCGATCCAGCATCTGACACCACCCCAACCAACCACCACCATCCACCTTCTACCACCATGATCCAACACCACCATTAAACACTCACTATGAATCCTCAAAGCATCCACTACCACCACCAGGCCTGGGGGGTTAACCCTCAATTTTCACCGCATCAGGATCGATGGCGATTTTCGCTGTACGCCAATTCATAACGGATCCGTTTGTGAGGTGAATTTCATGGCGGATTACGGACAGTAATAATCGTGAGAACTCACAAGAAATAGAACTCTTGTGATCAGCTGAGGAGTCCGGCGATCCGCAGAGGAACGGAAAGAAGTCGGTGTAAATTGACACGTTAACTTGAATGGTTACGATCAGCTACGATCGGAGGATACGACCTTTTAGGAGACGATCAGGATGAAGGTGGAGGTCGGGGGTTAAGGTTAGTGTCCCCTAAACTTATTCTGAGGGCGGGGCCTAGACACCAAACACAATCAATGTTCAGCAGCTGCTGCAATAAGCAGATCGATACATGACCAGGTGAGCTTTCTGACTGACAGCAGGTGAGTCAGTGGGCGGAGCTCCAAAAACCAACAGGATATATTTAGAGTGAAAACAGCTGAGAGTGACTGCAGACTGCAGCGGAGAGAGGAGAGAGAGGCGCCTGCTGCAGAGAACAGACTGTACAAACACACACACACACACACACACACACACACACACACACACACACACACACACACAGGGAGCAGTAATGTAACGTCAGCAGGTGAAACATTATAAACACACAGCTGATGAGTTCAGGTAGGATATGATGTGTGTGCGTTCAGTCCATGTTCAGCCCCTCCCCGCTGACTGCAGAGAGGCTGAAGGATCAATAACACACTCTGAATTATTAATCAGCTCACGTTCCTCTGAAACACACGCACACACACACACACACACACACACACAGTGAGAGCTGGCTGTATTGTCTTGAGTATAGATCAGTATCTGTGGAGGTTAACTTTAGTATAAATACTGTTTTATTAACACATGAAAATACACTTTACACTGATACTGAACACACACACACACACAGAGCAGCTGATCTACACACACACACACACACACACACACACACACACACACACACTGACTGATCAGACCCATTCATGACATTTGCAATGATCTGCATCAGCTGACGTCTGCGCAGTGTGTGTGTGTGTGTGTGTGTGTGTGTGTGTTTGTGTGTGTGTTAGAAGGTAGTGATGTAATTGTCCAGCAGCGTAGGAACACACTGTCGCTCTGCAGATCAGGGCGTGGTCGATCAGCTGGTCGGGGGGGGTTGAGTTGGAGATGCTAAGTGAGGGTCGATCTCCTCCTGAACAGCTGATTTTCACACCGTATTCATGTATAAAAAGAAAACTATCCTGAGAACTTAAAGCCCCATAAATCATTTTTGAAGTTGTAAGAAAATGTGTGTGTGAGTAAGTGATATTGAACAGCTGCAGAGTGACCCTGATGGGGATCTGAGAGGACACACTTTTAACTCTGTTTGAGTTATTTCTGTCCGTCTCTGACCGACGCTCACTGACTCAGACCCTCAGACGGTCTCTGTCCGTCTGCTCTGACCCTAAACTTTGACTCTGACTCTGAGAGGACGGGTTCAAATGATTCACACCGAGACTCAGTCCAACACTCTGTCTCTCAGTTTGTCCCTCAGTCTCTAAGATGAAGACCTAAAAAATGCAGTTCCTCTTTTGTCCACCAGAGGCTATTCTTGTAGTGAGTCTAACCCTGACATAGACTGTTCATACTCTGGACAACTTGGTTCCTCCTTCCTCCAGTTTACAGATTTGAAGCCGAAAAGTTCTCGGTAATTCTGTTTTTTTTCTCCACTTCCTGAAACCAACATTGTTCAGTAGCGTTTTACACATTTGGCATTTATATTCTGTGTCATTCATTTATAAAGTTTGTCCACAGCTCCATAAGGAGGCGGGGTTTATGACCTATACTGCAGCCCGTCACCAGAGGGCGCTGTTCTCACAGAGAGGAGGAGGCAGACGGTGTCCATTCTACACACAGTTTATATATTATGGACAACGTGGCTCCGCCTCCAATCATTGTCTGAATCTGAAGCCAAATCTCTCTTGGTATTTTCTCCATTTCCGGGTCAGCTGCACCTCTCATTCGCCAAACTCTAACCTTTATATTTTTTTCTTTACATTAACGCGCTAACTGCCGACTCTGTGATTTATCCAACTCTACTACTGAGCCACAGCGGGTATGGTAAGCAGGGGGCGTGGCCTCACATGTTATAAGTTTGAACCATAAAAAATAAAACCTGGACTCAAATTTATTCCTCGGAAGTCAGATGTCTGAGCTGAAATGACGTCACACCCGAGTTCTCAGCGTTTCAGGTACCAAGTTGGAAAAAAGCAAAATCGGAGGTGGAAAGTTATTTTCGCACTTGCCTCGTCCGAATATAAAGCAAGTGTTAAAATAGCGTTTATAGATGTAGCCCTCTCATTTCAGGCCTCCAATTTTACTTTTCAAATTTTTTTTAAACGGTTTTACGACATTTGATTTCTGAGGTAACTCGAACGCAGCATAGCTCTTCAACTGTAGCTTCACACTCATCAAAGGTAAAAGCGCCACCTAGTGTTCGATATCGGAATTACATTCAGAATACACCATGTTGTCTTTATATTGTCTTTCATCATTTAGCGAAAAAACTAAAAAACGAACTCTTTCTGGCTCCAATAATAATCAGAGTCTCTCTGTAACTCAGAGTTATTTTAGCCTGAAGTTACCCTCCTAAAACGAAACTCCAGAGGGAGCAGATTAAGAGAATAAATCCATCATGTGGGTCTGATAATCTGTGCTGGATGGTCAAATTAAATGGATGTAAATGGATGATTTCTCTGTTTTGATGTCTGCTCAGGTCAGACTGCAGCAGCTCTGTTCTGCAGAGACATGATGTTCACTCTCATGATCGTGTGTTTCTGCTTTAAAAACCATGAAGACATCATGTTAGAGGGTGGAGTTCAGTCCTCTTTCGTTTGGGGTAAAATACTCAGAGGTCTGCTGTGATTCAGGTCAACAACACTCGCTGAGCTGCATGGAAAGCCTTTTTCTCCTGATGCACCTGAACGCAGCTCCATCTCTGCAGCCTTTACATAAACGTTTCCATGTCAGACGGTCCGTGAATGCAGCAGGAGGCGGCAGATAGCAGAGTGTAGGTGTAGAGCTGGAGCAGCAGGCCTTCATCATCCTCATCCTCAGCAGCAGCAGCAGCAGCAGCATCCTCAGCCCCTCCCTCCTCCACCTCCTCCTCCTCCTCCTCCTCCCTCCATCACTGATCCGCGCTGCCTCTCTCCGCCGTGTCTCCGCTCTCTCTCTCCGGTGTTTCTCCGGCTCAGGCTGCTCGCAGGGCGGGGGATCGGTCCGCTGCTGCTCGGTTGGACTGTGTCGGTCGGTCGGTCGGTCGGTCGGTCGGTCTGTGGGTCGGTGGTCTTCAGGTGTGGACGTGGACAGGGCTGCAGAGGAATGTCTGCTTCATGATCGGATCAGTGTGTGAGATTGAGGCCTGAGACTGCAAACACACACACAGAGAGAGAGACACACAAACACCGTGAGTAACATCATTTTAACTCAAACACACACATTTAGTGTAACAGTCAGTTTATACAGTATATTAGTATTCTCTATACGGTAAATCTGCATGTGGTGCGTTCACTGTCACAGCGAAATAGATGAAATCCTGAGGTCATCCTGTATCATAGAGCTTTAAATACACAGAATTGTCCTTTAAATGCGTCTTTCTGCTGTGAATGAGATTAAAAAAGGAGAGGCAGACCTCCTGACTGACCCTCATCCTCCTCATCGGTGTCTGAAGAAACATCAGGTTTAAAGATCGTTCATGAAAACATGATGATCGATCAGAGCAAGAACCAACGCTGCACATATGTTCATCTGAATGAATGAATGAATGAATGAATGAATGGTTTTATTTATTTCAGTATTATATATTTGAAAGGATGCAGGAAGAAGTAATGCTTATAAAGACCCTCCCCCTAAACCAAACATGGAGTCCATTATACAGATACTCTCTTTATACTAATATCAACACTTTAATCTATTTTCAATCTTCAGGTCAGAGAGAGTCATCAACATGTTTTACACTTTACATCCGTCATCAGACGTCATTTTCTCGACAATATTGAGAAATAACATGATTCTTCTGAAGTCTCTTAAAGTTCACCAGAGTTCTACATTTTCTCATGTCCACAGTCGGACCGTCGTTCCAGATTTTCGTCCCCTTTTTACAGACACACAGAAATGTTTGACACTTGTTCGCACTTTCAGAATCAGAATCAGAGAATTTCGGTTTCTGTAAAATCCACAGCCTCTGAGGTTGTAATGAGAGTCCCTCAGTTTTAACAGGACATGTTGTGGTAAAGCTCAGTTTTTGACTTTGTACAGGGTTTGTATTGTGATCAAATTAATTAATAATAATAATAAATTTTATGTATAACACGCTTTTACAGGAGCTCAAAGACGCTTTACAAAGAAAAAAAGGATTTAAAATACAGAAAATTTTGAGTAATAAAACCAACAATGTAAAAGGTTAAAAAAGACACAATATGAAAAGACAATAAAGTTCACAGGTTAATCTACCAATCATCTACAGGTAAACTACTCGGTCTTTGAATTTTCATAAATTTAAGGAAGTTGATTCACCGTCATGTTTATTGCAGATGACTCTTACGGCTCGCTTTTGTAAATATTGAGTTTGTATTTGTTTTATAAGTGTTTCCCCAAATCTAAATACAATAAGTCATGTACAGAGTTGTCAGGGAATGGTATAGAGCGGCTCACCCTGTTTTTAAACTAAATCTTTGTCTTTTTACAGAATGGAGATAGATTTTGACATTTGACATGATTTATGTCTGATTTTGGGGGGTTACTGCCGGGGTGTGGACATTAGGATGGGCGGTACGTTTGCCCCGTGGTCCAAATCATGTCAGCAGATGAAGGTTATAAACATATGAATATATTTATATTTGTGTGTCTGTGAAGAAAGGATCTAAAGGAGCTGCAGGGTTCGGTGTCGGAAGTGTTCTAGTTTCTGTTTATCGTCTGAGGAGAATTAACCAATCAGGTTTGAGTTAGAGGAGAGAAATAAATAAACCTCAACAGGTTTTCCTCCTCAGCAGCTGAGCTTTTCAAGACTGTGTGACAGACAGACAGACAGACAGACAGACAGCTGCAGAAAGAGCCCGGCCCTGATCCTGATCCTGATCCTGATCCTGATCTGTATACCTCTGCTGGATATAAATAGAAATCTACTATCTCCAATCTCTTTTCACTGATTCTAGACTGCGTTTGGGCTCTAGACCATGAAATGGAAGAATTCTGGTTTTGGTTCAAACGTTTGAGTGTTGACCGAATAGTTGGTATGAAGAGCAAAAACAGGAGGAACACAGACCTCCAAAACAACCTCCAGTTCTCATGAGGAGGATCTCTGTATGAAGGTTAGCTAACATCAAACATCTACACCAAGACTGGGGCTGAACGATATGTGAAAAAGTTTATCATGATATATTTGTTTTCCTATCAGCTGATATGGATCAATATCAGGATATAAAAATCTAACCGTGTTTCTTGGTCTCATGTCTTTTCCAACACAATAATCTCCTGCATCTGTGAGGTCTTTGTGTCTCTTTGGCGTTTTGTCGTAAGGCGTCGCTCTAGAGAAAGCCGACTGAATGGTCGTCTGTTTCGGCTCCTCGCTCCTCTCGGGGTTTGTAACCTTTTGCGTTGCGCGTGCTCTGCGGCGTGGCGCTGCTTCAGGTGGTGAAAAAGATTTGAGGTATTCCCCGACTTTGTGAGAACATGTACTCGACATAATTTACAGTCCACATTACTCTGCTTCATGTCCGACCTCCAAAAACCAAAATACCTCCACACCACCGACGTTTTCCTAACGCCAGTGTTGTGGTTGACATTGATGTGGTCATCTGTTGAGCCTTCATGGTCATTTCTGTCGGGGGTAGCACTCATTTTCTTTGTTTCTCACCAACAGTGCTGTCGGCTTCACCTGTTAAAGTGCTATGGTTGGGTGGAGCTGCTGTCTGCTACGACGCTGCAGTTGGTTGATACTTGGTTCTAATTCAGACCATGATTGGTTCAGACCCAGAGAAACTCCCCTTTTCATTGGCTGTTCGTATAGTCGACCAAAACATGTCAGAATGACGACTGTTGAAAAGCATATTGATCATGTTTTATATTGATATTGAGGGAAATTAGTTTTTGATATATTTCTTTTTGGTTTTATCGTCCAGCCCTAGGACCAAAACACTAAAATGACTGATGAACAGGAGACCAGAGTGAATCCTCTGAAGAACCTGAACTTGTCCTACCTGTTGTCTTCATCTCTGTAACTTTATCTGGCGTCGTGTTTTAATGCCTGCTCCTCCTCAAATAAGAGTCCAATGACCTCTTTATTTACCAGCAGGTATAAAAAAGCGTCTCTGTAGTAGATCTGGATGGTTATTCAGGGTTCAGATCTGTTAGAAAAGGGAACATGTCTGTGAATGTCTGTGATCCAACATGGCTGCTCCCCGCATGATGATGGTGCAGTTTAGAGTCGGACTGAGGCCTGCAGCTGCTCTGTAATCCATCCGAGAGGTAAAAGCTCTCTGATTCATGGAGCTGTACTCTCTACTCGCTCTGCATCCGTGTTTTCGGTTCAGTAGATTTGGGTGACCTGATTTTAAAGCTGCAGAAGAAAAAGAAGCAGCGGCGGCTCCTGCTCTCGCAGTCTTTGAGTCTCTGGGTGTGAGAGCTGCAGGCGGCAGCTGAGAGTTCAGAGCTCTGATCATGTCATCATTTCTCAGAGAGCAGGATTAGGCCGACTCTGTGAATAACCTCAGACTGATGCAACAGCAGAGACTAAAAATAGAGACGGACACAGACGGACGGACGGACAGCTCAGATAATCTGCACAAACTCACGCAACAGAGTTGATTTATCTGTTATTAGTGTGAGGGTGATCTGATAATCAACGTCTGTGATCGCTGATAAAGATCGACACTTCTGTTATCGCTCTACTCAGTGATGGGAGATCTGATCCAATCAAAACCTTCAGATTATTGACAGTTATATTCAGAGGCTCATGAGAAGAAAGTCAAAATAATGTATGATTCTTTAGTCCGACATCAGCCAGACGACGATGAGAGAAAAATCATGGCTGCTGTTTGTCCACAGACTCTGCAGACGTCTTCATGAGTCAGGTCATTGACCGCTCTGTTCAGAGAGGGTGGAGCACACCTGTCCTCCATCCTGCTATAGTTGGGTGTAGCTGCTGTCTGCTACGACTTTGCAGTTGTTTGACATTTGGTTGTAATTCAGCACATGATTGGTTCAGACCCGGAGAAACTCCCCTTTTCATTGGCTGTTCGTATAGTCGACCAAAACATCGCAGAATGACGACTATTGAAAAGGATATTGATCATGTTTGATATTGATATTGAGGGACATTAGTTTTTGACATATATCATTATCGTTTTATCGCCCAGCCCTACATCTTTGCAAACCTAAGAAGGATCAGACCATACAGCGTATAAAAAACCCTAAATATTAGTTTGAAAGTGGTAGAAGAATCTGGATCTGTTCAGGTCTGCAGATACGGACTGAACCTTTCCTGGTCCAGATTTAGTTCCTGGTGTTTTTAGACCTTGATTCTGGTTCCAGCAGACGGTCACAGGGCCGTGTTTTATTTTGACGAGCTTGACAGGAAGTAGTTGAAATGTCCTTGAGTGTTCTTCATCCTTCATTGAGGAGGAGGAGGACTGGGGGAGGACTGAGGATCAGGTTTCCCTGACAACAACAGATACCCCCCCCCCCCCCCCCCCTCCTGAGAGCTCCCAGCATGCTTTAGGGCAGTCAGAGTGCTGATCTCAGCAGCTTCAGAAGGAGAGAGTAGATGGAGACAGGAGAGCAGATCACTCTCACATCCACCTGAGCACATCCTGATCTGTTCTCCTCCAGGTGTGTTACTGCAGGTGTGTTTTCACTGGAGGGTTTCTGCATCATTCATACACTGTACTGACTCCTGATCTCACACCTGTACCTGACTGAGATGATGCTGCAAACAGAAGTGTGAGAACACACGCTGCTCTGTCAGATCTTGTCGGCTCTGTTGAAGCTCACAGTGTTCACTGGTTTGTAAATCTGTTATCAAGCTGTTAGTCCAGGTGAGAAGGAGATCAGGTACCTGACCTTACAGGAGAGGGTTCAAAGGTCATTCTGCTGCTTTGACACACAAAGTCAAGGTCGTTTTTTTCACCTCTTTTTGAGTCACTTTAGTTTTGCAGACACACTCATCTTCACGCTGAATGATCCTGCTCTCTGTTATCCTGCAGGATCCAATTAATGGTTTCATATTGGAGTTATTGAAGTTTCCTTGTTTGTACATGAAAATTTTAAACAGATTTGAATGTTATTTTATTAATTGTTGATCCATCCAGCCCGGTGAAGCTGCTCTCTGATTGGACTCAGAGCTGGTCCTCGGACTCTTTAAACCCTCTGACAGTTTGTGAGCGAGCGCTGAGATATGAAGCCGTCAGATTAAAGAGGTTAAAGTTAATTAACATAATAAGCTGCTCAGTCTGCTGGAGGACCACAGAGCGGTCACTTTAACAGAGCTGACACTAAACTCAAGTATCTGTGTGGATGAAATCCTGAACCGTTTAACAGGAATTCAGAGGCTGAAAATAACTACATAAAAAAAACTGGGAATGTTAAAAATGTCCAGACTGACATAAAAAATCCACAGAAAGAGCTTTAAATAATGACAGAGGAGATATCTGTATTTAAATGTAAAGCAAAAACAAAGCTGGTGTTCCTATTTTTTTTTTATTTATTATGTGTAAATAAGAACATATATCTTTTTATATGTGCTTTTATTTATTTGGTTTTTATTCCACTACCACTCTACCTCCAGAAAGTGCAATATTACTCAGCATGCTGCTATTTTACCCTTAGTTTTAATTTGATTTTTTCTGAACATTAAATTAAAACTATCATGCTGTGATATGGAAGACAAACAATGATGTTTCATTAAAGAGAGACATGACTGCTGTGTTATATTCTGTGCAATGACAAATAAAGAAAGTCTAAATCTAAATCTTTAAACAGAGCTCTGACAAACTCTGGTTTTATTTTGAAGGAGTCATTTTCAGCTGGTGTTTGATAAATGGTACTTTATTTTGAAGAAGTCGTTTTCAGTTGGTGTTTACTGATTTATATTTTATTTTGGAGGAGTCGTTTTCAGCTGGTGTTTAATGATTGGTACTTTATTTTGAAGGAGTCAGCTGGTGTTTAACCATGGTACTTTATTTTGAAGGAGTCGTTTTCAGCTGGTGTTTAATGATTGGTATTTTATTTTGAAGGAGTCTTTTCAGCTGGTGTTTGATAAATGGTACTTTATTTTAAAGGAGTCAGCTGGTGTTTAACCATGGTACTTTATTTTGAAGGAGTCGTTTTCAGTTGGTGTTTACTGATTTATATTTTATTTTGAAGGAGTCAGCTGGTGTTTAATGATTGGTATTTTATTTTGAAGGAGTCAGCTGGTGTTTAATGATTGGTATTTTATTTTGAAGGAGTCAGCTGGTGTTTAATGATTGGTATTTTATTTTGAAGGAGTCAGCTGGTGTTTAATGATTTATATTTTATTTTGAAGGAGTCAGCTGGTGTTTAATGATTGGTATTTTATTTTGAAGAAGTCAGCTGGTGTTTAATGATTGGTATTTTATTTTGAAGGAGTCGTTTTCAGCTGGTGTTTAGTGATTGGTATTTTATTTTGAAGGAGTCGTTTTCAGCTGGTGTTAAGTGATTGGTATTTTATTTTGAAGGAGTCAGCTGGTGTTTAATGATTGGTATTTTATTTTGAAGGAGTCAGCTGGTGTTTAGTGATTGGTATTTTATTTTGAAGGAGTCAGCTGGTGTTTAATGATTGGTACTTTATTTTGAAGGAGTCAGCTGGTGTTTAATGATTGGTACTTTATTTTGAAGGAGTCAGCTGGTGTGATTGGTCCTGCTGATTCACTCAGAGTCAAAGTGACTCACAGACTCGCACTGAGACTGAAATCTGTTTTTCTCAAAGACTGAATCAGACTCTATTTACAGATCAGCAGCAGCAGCTCGGCTCACAATCCTACAGTTACTGTTTACAATCACCCATTAACCAATCACAGTCCACCGTTTAGACACCTCCCCCTTCTGATTGATCCAGGCCAAACGAACCAATCACACTCAACTGCAAGCGGAGCTCCACCCCTTCACCTCTGACTCCTCATGCTCTCCTCGGTCTGTCAGGATGTTCGCTCTCAAACATCTCAGACAGAAAACTGTGAACTGTCTAAACGTGTACATCTGTCAGTCACACTAAAACAGTTTTTTTAGGGCAGCAAACATGTAAACAAATAAAAACAAACAAACTAGAAAAAACATCAAGAAGACGTGTGAAAACAAGCGCGATAACCGTTCAATTCTTACTCAAACACAACGTGAGACGTTTGAGATCCTGACGGTCTGCTGCACTTCACTTTGGTTCCTCACTGATTAAATAAAAACTGGATATTTAACATAAACGTTTGATAACCTGCTCCATGTTTGAATCAAACACTGATCAGAGGAACCGTTCCCTTTAATGATTCAGTGATTCGTTTACTGCAGAGAAACCCCCGTGACCCCGTAACAAAACCCCAGAGTAGAGGAGTAGCGTTGGTCTCACCTTTAGTGTCATGTCGGACAAAAACAACGCTGTACGATGCTCCATCTTCTTGTTTCTCCAAAATGCCCAGCAGCAGTTGTAGACACTTCTGACGTCTGACACCGACCTGCTGTTGTTGTTGACGGTTGGATGGGGTCGGAAACAGCGCCGCTGAAAAGACCCATATCGCCCCCTAGTGTTGGGGAGGAGGACACTTTCACATCAATAAAAAAAACGTATTATGATCCGATGAGCTGTGCCTTAAACGTACTGAGTGTCATCTGAAGACAGCAGCAGTCAGCTGGTTCATCCTCTGGAGGACATGCATCTACAGCAGCTGCTGGGACGCTTCAGTCTTCTGGTGTTTTTCAGTCTGTCTCCAGAATAAATCAAACATTTGAAATGGATCATATCAAACTATGTTTCCATGACGACCACCTTTAATGTGCTAATAATCTCAGCAGGGCTGATAATTTCCCTCATGAATGCCCGTCAGCTCTGCAGCTGAGACATGTCTGCACCTTCAGACTGGATAAAAACGGACACGGTTTGTTCTTTCAAAGAGTCAGGTGAGCATGTCTCATCAGTTTACGAACAGGTAACAGGCTGTCACTGTACTGAGCTCCAGGATGGTTTATTTGGTTTATTCTGGTTTATTTCCAAACCTCCCCGGACAGAGGACAAACCAGAGACTTTGATTCAGGTCTGAGGAGACTGAGCGGTGATTTCAGAGCGGATCAGACGGGTTTGGAAACGGTGTGAATGAGGGATGTGAGCCGTGTAAAAGGTTAACAAGAGAGGGAATATTAGACGAGATACACAGGGACTGACTCCTACAAAATAAAACAGGAAACACTAAAAACTAAACTGAGAAACCAAACAGTAAAAAAAACAAAAAAAAAAACAGGAACATAAAAATAATGAAAACAGAGGAGCAGGAACAACAGGGAACAACTACAATGTTTTTACTCTCAGGGATGTGAGTCCTCTGGATTATATTTTAGTGGTTTATATGTTGGATTATATTTTAGTGGTTTATATGTTGGATTATATTTTAGTGGTTTATATGTTGGATTATATTTTAGTGGTTTATATGTTGGATTATATTTTAGTGGATTATATGTTGGATTATATTTTAGTGGTTTATATGTTGGATTATATTTTAGTGGTTTACATGTTGGATTATATTTTAGTGGATTACATGTTGGATTTTATTTTAGTGGATTATTCGTGTTTCCTCTGTCTTGTGATTCTGTCTCTTAGCTTCATTAAGTCAATGACTCTCTTTCTGCTCCCGAGGATGAGGAGGACGAGGAGGAGGATGTAGGACAGAGTGGGTGTTCGAAGCTTTAAGGAATAAATCCAGGCAGAGCCCACACACTTGCCCCCCCCTGGTGCATGCTGGGAAGTGTAGTCCAGTTCCTGCTGTCTGTGTTGGTGGATGCCTGAGGCCTGTGTCTAAATATAAACCCTGTCCTGTTTCTGTCAGTCTGTCCTCACATGAATCTCGGCTGTTTGCACAAAATTTTCACAAGCAGCAGAAACACGACAAAAACAGAGACGATGTACGGTCAGTGGGTGGTTGGAGATAATGTTGGATTGGTGGAGAATTAATCGATGATTATGGATAAACACATGGTTATGAAGCTGTTAGGAATAATACCATGTCAGCAGGTTAGGTATAGTGTGAAGGGGAATGTAGTGGCTGGTTGGGGATAATGTATTAGTGGGTAGTTAAGGAGAATGTATGGTAAGGGATAATGTGTAGCTAGTGTGCGGTAATGCTAATAATGGGCGGTAGAGGAACATGTATGGTTTGGGGGAAGTTAGGGATAGGGAGTGATTCGTTCGAGGTGAGGGATAAGTGTAGGTTCGGTTGGTCGTCTGGAAAAGTGAAACATTAATAATTGAAGGTCTTGAAGGATCCTCAGGGGGGTGAAACCAGAAAAAATCATCTGGTGTATTTATTAAAGTCCTGGTAGATCAGAAAAAAGTGTCCTTCCCCCCCACCCCACACACACAAACCTCTGTGTTCCTCCATAACTCCGCCCCCTGAACCTGTACCGCCCTCCCCCTGACACACCCCCTCTGTCAGAAGATCCTACGCTAGCTTCAAATAGGATTCACCATGTCGGATTGTTAGTGACTAGCGGCAGTAAACGCCAGCTCTGCGAGCGAGCGCCGTCTGCAGCTGCCTGGACAGCTACCGTGTTGACATGTCAGAGACTAATCAGAGTTATTTATGTAACATGAGATAAAAGGAGATAAAAATGACCTGTTCAACTAAAACTCTGCTGTCTCAGCGTCTGTTTTCTCCACCGCTCCAAGGATGACCCGATGGTTATTCACGTTAGATTCCTCGTGTGGTCACATGTCCTCTTTGACTCCGCCCTTTCTTCTGTCGGCGTTTGCGTTTTCTTCCCACTCTTGGCGGTGGGGCGAGCAGAAGTGTTTGTTTTTTTTTTGCGTCCTTCTCCATCACAGCTCCTGTAGCTAAGCTGCTACGCTACTTTTACTCCGAGGAGGGCCGAGGGGAAAGTCCCGCCTCCTTCCCGCCTCATCACACGCTCAAGCCAAATGTTCTGTACATCGAACAGAATATTAGGAGGTGAAGGAGGGCAGGGCCTTCTCCTACCGTCCTACAAAAAAAAAAATTGTGGCCGGGAGAGTGGGAGGGGACGAGTCGGAACTACGGTGATTGGATGGAGAGGCGGAGCAGGAGATTGACCAATGGGAGCTGTCGGGGACGGTTGCAGCCTAGCACCTGATAGGGTGAACAGATTTTTTCTGTTCTTTATTCTCTTCACTTTGCAGAGATCACACGATAGGACCATGATCGCCATAGAAACCAGGTTCATAATAATTACCGATCTCTACAATCGTCAACCATGACTTTAAATTTGGGATTCAGGCGGAGGTGAAAGCTGTCCTCAGATTAAATTGGTCTCTCTCTCTCTCTCTCCCTCTCTCTCTCTCTCTCTCTCTCTCTCTCTCTCTCTCTCTCTCTCTCTCTCTCTCTCTCTCTCTCTCTCTCTCTCTCTCTCTCTCCCTCTCTCCCTCACAGTCAGGCTCTAAACCTTCTTCCTCAGTCAGTTAGAGCTCCAGAAACAGAGAAACAGAGAGAGTACTGGGTGTTCTGGTGAACTCTGACCCACTGAGCTCAGACCGACTCTGAGGTCTGAATGGACTGATTGTTAAACCATGAATAGATTCAGGATCCGGACCTGCTGGCACCGTGTTCACTCCTCCCCCTCTTTGTGTGACAGAGAGGATCAGCTTTAGTGTGAAGGGCCATTACACTCCTCTCCATGAAACCACTGTAGATCCACCGTCTCAGAGTGAGCCGTGCTCTGATTCATATTTTCATAAATCTCAGACTACACAGATGTTAAACCAGTGTTCGTTCTGACATTATAACACTGCTGTCAGATGTTTATTTTTCTCCTGTTAAAGTAGTCCATTATACTCATGGTTATAGCTGTTTCCATGGTAACAGTAAACTCACTGATTTTATGAAAAGAACCAACATAGCTGTTTTAACTGCTGTTGTCCATTCGTAGGGTTGACTCCCTAAGAGTCTGTGTTTGAAGCTGTATCCATAGCAACAGTCATGACAACCTTCTGCTGAAGAGAAATAACAGACCTCTGACATTAAGTTGTGGTAACTGCTGTGCAATGATGGAGCTCCATTGGCTACGTTACGTTATGTTATATAATACAATATTATAGTAACATGATGTAACATAATCTTACATAACAAAATACAACATGACTTATCAGACTATGAAATAACAACGTAACATAACATTACATAATATGATAAAATTAAACATGACATGACATTAGAAAACATGACTTAACATAAAATACCATGACAAGTTATAACTAATGTTGCGTCATGTCATGTTGGATTATTTAATATTTTTGTTGTGTTTGAAACATTATGTTGTATAACCTGAGGCTGTGTTATAGTAAGTTATGCTTTGTCATGTTGTTTTGTCCTATTATGTTTCGCTATGCTATGGTCTGATTTGTAATGAGATGTTTTATTATATTATGTTATGATACGTCGTATTGTGTGATGTTCTATTATGTCCTATTATGTTATGTTATGTTATGTTATGTTATTATGTTATGTAATGTTATTATATGTTATTTTATGTTATGTTATTATGTTATGTTATATTATGTTATTATGTTATAATAATAATAATGCATCAGATTTCATATAGCGCTTTATCAGAGACCCTCAAAGCGCTTTACATTGGATACATCATTCATATTATACATATTATATGTTATGTTATGTTATATTATGTTATGTAATGTTATGTTATGTTATTATATGTTATTATATGTTATATTATTATGTTATGTAATGTTATGTTATGTTATTATATGTTATATTATTATGTTATGTAATGTTATGTTATGTTATTATATGTTATATTATGTTATGTAATGTTATGTTATGTTATTATATGTTATGTTATGTTATATTATATGTTATGTTATTATATGTTATGTTATATTATGTTATTATATGTTACTCTTTGTTATGTTATGTTATGTAATGTTATGTTATATTATGTTATTATATGTTATGTTATGTTATATTATGTTATGTAATGTTATTATATGTTATTTTATGTTATGTTATGTTATATTATGTTATGTAATGTTATTATATGTTATTTTATGTTATGTTATGTTATATTATGTTATGTAATGTTATTATATGTTATTTTATGTTATGTTATTATATGTTATGTTATATTATGTTATTATATGTTATGTTATGTTATATTATGTTATTATATGTTATGTTATGTTATATTATGTTATATTATGTTATGTTATATTATGTTATGTTATGTTATATTATGTTATGTTATATTATGTTATGTTATTATGTTATGGTGAAATCCAGAGTCCCTGTCATGGTTTGATCAGCTCGTCTCTGTTTGCTGAGTATCTGGCATTCTCAGACTGTGACTCTTAGTCAGGATGTGGGTCAGGCCTTTAAACTTTCACACTCTGTATTTGTGTTTCTGATGCTGGTCTAATGGATGCTAAATGTTAGCATGTGCTGATTGGTCCTGACTCTTACCTGTCCTCAGGTGTAGCTGCAGTTCAAACCTGAATCACAGGCCCGATGGTCTCTGTGATCTTTGACTCGTCAGTTTCTCGTGGCGTGCCGAGCAGATGTTTGCGCTCTGGTTTGTTAGGTTTGATGAAATAAAGTCTCTCTGCTCGCTGATGTTGTGTAGGAGGATGAAGAGTCTAAATATAGATGAGTGATGAAGCTCCTCTTCATCCTCTTCACCTCCTGCACCATGTGACCACCCCCCCCAACAGAAATGCTGCAATGCGTCTCCTTGCTCAGACTGGGTCAGTGTAACTCAGCTGGCAGCTACAGCCTGAGAGAGGCGTCGCCATGACAACAGCCAATCAGGGGTTAGTGTTAGAGATTGTACTCAGTGTTATTGTTGTGAATGTTCGACAAAAGAGTGATTTCCAGGATGAAGAAGGTCGGGAGGAGGGCGGGAAGTGAGCGTGAGAGGAGACGGGCAGGGTGGAGGATGATCAGACCTGAGTGTGAAGAGAGGGAGGGAGAGGGAGGGAGAGGGAGACAGAGAGGGAGAGAGGGAGAGGATGATGGTGTCAGCAGATGCTGGAAACAGGGCGTTATTCTCTCAGTAAATACAGTCACACCGTGTTCCTCACAGAGATCTTGTTTTTATGCTGAAGAGCTAAGATCAGATTCAGAGCTGCGTCAGACGTCAGCATGTTCTCAGGAAATTCAGTCATTATTAAATATCCTCTTCATATGATAAACTGATCCCCCCTGTTCATTCTGGACCCTCATGATAGGATGGTCAGGGTGAGACGTGTGTTTAATGAGCTGAACTGATGATAGCTTTGAGTAAATGTTCAAACCCACTATAGAGAGTAATGAGAGGACAGCTGAAAGGTGGAGGGGTGAGTTATTTCTTATGTGAAAGTGTTGAATATAAGATGGCTGCACAGTGACCTCCTCTCTGAAACACTAGCTTCTTATTTCTTGGTGGTGAGATGACGTTATCTCCGGAAAGACTGAGGCGTTCCTGCAGAAGTGTGAGGGGTTGTTTCTCCAGGAGCAGACGGTTTCCACTCTTTTCTCCTGGTCCGTATCCGTCCCATCGTCCTCACCTTGTCTGCTCTGTGTCTCCTCAGGTCAGAGGACTCTGCAGTATCAGAGTGACGTGTTACAGACTGTGGTGCTGGTGAACCCGTCAGAAGAGGCCGCTGCTTCAGAGGTGAGTCCCCCTTCATTCCTGTTTGACATCAACATTTCATCCCTCTTATCCTCGTTTTTGTCGTACTTGTCCAGTGACGATAAAGATATCCCGATTGTCTCGATTGTCCTCACAGATTCGCTCTCTGGTCACCGACTCTGCGGGGCAGAAGCTGCTGGTTCTGAGCGGCCAGAGTTCTGAGCAGGGAGGAGACATCCTACTGCAGGGTGGAGCGTTCACCTGGCAGCACTTCTCAGACATCATCTCAGACCCTGAAGTAAGCAGAGCGCCCCCTCTCTGTAGAGCACACAAACCCTACAAAAACAAGCTTCTGATGTGACTGTTTGTGTGATTGCAGGTGATTGAGCTCCTCTCCAGGTCCTCCTCACCACAGCCGTCCAGGCTTACTGTTTCCTGTCAGGGGGACGGGGGCTGGAGCTCCCTGGGCCAAAGCCAGGAGCAGCAGTCACTGCAAAATATTCTTGAATACCGTCTGAACCCTGAACCCCACCTCCCCAACATGGACGGAGTCACAGAGTTCACGGAGTACGTCTCAGAGACAGTGGAAGTGCCGTCATCCTTCGACCTCTTGGAGCCCCCCACCTCTGGAGGTTTTCTGAAGCTGTCCAAACCCTGCTGCTACATCTTCCCCGGAGGTAGGGGGGACTCTGCTCTGTTCGCTGTCAACGGATTCAACATCTTGGTGGATGGAGGATCTGATCGCAAGTCTTGCTTCTGGAAACTGGTCCGCCACCTGGACAGGATCGACTCCGTCCTGCTCACACACATTGGTGCAGACAACCTTCCAGGCATTAACGGGCTGTTCCAGAGAAAGATTGCTGAGCAGGAGGAGGAACGCAACCAAGGGTCGGGTTCAAGCAATGGAGACTGGATGAAGAATCTGATCTCTCCCGAGCTGGGCATTGTGTTTTTTAACGTCCCAGAGAAGCTCCGGATGCCTGAGTCCACGCTGAAGGTGAAGCGAAGCATTGAGGAAGCGTCTCTCACTCTGCAGTACCTCAATAAGCTCGGAATCACACCAGAGCCTCTTCACAGGGTTGTCAGCAACACCATCGAACCCATCACGCTCTTCCACAAACTGGGAGTGGGAAAGTTGGACATGTATGTCTTAAACCCTGTCAAGGAAAGCAAAGAGATGCAGTTTCTCATGCAGAAATGGGCCGGGAACAGCAAAGCCAAGACCGGGATCACACTGCCCAACGGCAAAGAAGGCGAGATATCCGTCCCCTATTTGACTTCAGTGACGGCACTCATTGTCTGGATCCCCCACCGTCCCTCAGAAAAGATTGTCAGGGTGCTCTTCCCTGGAAACGCCCCACAGAATAAAATCTTTGAGGGCCTGGAGAAACTGAAACACCTGGACTACCTGCGATACCCCGTGGCCACCCAAAAAGACATATCATCAGGTGCTGCTCCGCCCATCCTCAAACAGACGAAAATAAGATCAAGGACCGACAGCAAAGAGAGTCTCAAATCTTCACCCAAACCGCACTCCAAGACCACCAAGAAAGACGGGCAGGAGGACGAGTCAAAGAGCAACATCTCCAAAGAGAATAAAGGAGAGAAGAAGGAAGAGAAGAAACAGAAGAGTGAAAGTCTGAAAGCCACCAAACAACAGAAAAACAGTGAGGTGGCCCCCGCTGCGGACAAAAAGTCAGAGAAGAAGAAAATATCCAAGGACAAAGCTGCCAAGAAGGAAAAGGCATCCAAGATGGATGAAAAGAAGGACAAGGAGAAGAAAGAAATCAAGAAAGAGAGAAAAGAGGTAAAGAAAGATGAAAATATAAGGAAGGAAGAGAAAAAAGAAAGCAAAGCCAAAGAGGACAAAAAGAAGGACCCGAGTAAACCCGAGCTGAGAAAAATAACCAAACCTGACCTGAAGCCGCTCACACCTGAGGTTCGAAAAACTCTGCATAAAGCCAAGACTCAAGCAAAGCCCAAGACGGACAAAAACAAAGCAGCGAAAGAAGGAGACAGTGAGAAAAAACCCGCCAAGAAGAACATCCCTGAGGAGGTGGCAGCAGCAGCTTTGGCTGACAGGTCCATCGTGTCCTCTCCAGAGGACCTGACTGAGGACTTTGAGGCTCTGAAACAAGAACAGCAGTCCAAAGGAAAGAGTGTGCCGATCCAGAACGACGTGATCTCTGGACATGGTCTGGACACAAATATTTCCTCTTTGATTTTCCCAGATGAAAAAGTCACACCCAGAGCCACTGAAACCAAACCTCCTTCACCCAAATCCCCCGACCAAAAGGACAAAGACAAGACAGCATCAGGACAGGCTGCAGGCATGGCAAGCTTTGGCTTTGACAAGAAGTATGAGGAGGAGAAAATGGAGAAATACGACAAATACCCTGTGAAGACCGACATAAAAGACAGATCCAAGAAGAGCGAGAGTTCAGAGGAGGAGGGCGACGTCATTGAGAAAGCTGAACTCGAAGGAACAGAGGATGAGGAGGTCCTAAAGTATAAAACAGAAGAGGTGAAGAAGGACAAAACTGTGAAGGAGTGGGATACCAAGCCCAGTGATCTAAAACCTCCATCAGCCACAGCACCTCCTGGACAGGTCCCAGCGTCTGCCTCAGACCAGTTCTCCTACATCCAAGACGAGACCATCCCTGGTTACTCTGAGACTGAGCAGACCATCTCTGATGAGGAGATCCACGAGGACACGGAGGACAGGATCCCACAGCTTCGCTATGACGTGGGCTCCTACGATGTCTCTGTCCCTGATGTCCCAGGCACCTTTGACTCCATGCATGGTATAAAGGAGATGAAGAGTTCTGCTGTCTCTGATGTCAAACCCAAAACCTTTGTGGGAGGTCAGGAGCCTGAGCTCGCTCCTTACCCCGCCATCATTGCTGCTCCTCTTGCAGAGGAGGAGCACATCTCCTCTGCCACCTCCATCACAGATTATGACAAACTGTCATCCTTCGCCACATCAGTCGCCGAGGACCAGTCGATCACCTCTGTGACGGCCCCTCAGACCGAGGATGCTGGGAGGAACTCTCTCATGCTTGACACCATGAACAGCGCTCTCTCTCGCCCCGATGCCATCCAGGGTAAGGACTATCTGCACTCAGCAGGAACCATCTCTCCCACCTCCTCTCTGGAGGACGACAAATGCTTCAAGTCTCCTTCTTCTGATGAGCCCAACATTCCTGAGATTGAGGCTGATTCCAAGGTCAAGGCAGTCCATGAGGAAGATGATGATGAGGAAGAAGAGGACGAGGACCAGACTCCCAATGTTGACATCCCTCTGGGTAAGCTCCAGGAGGGTTATGAACACGCCGCCTCCATGATGCTCCAGCAGAAAGAGAAATCTCCCTCGGCACCTCCTCCCCCCTTCACCACACAGGCTGCCAAGGAAAACCAGAGTCTCTTCAGTCTGAAGACTGTTTCACCCCCTCCATCCTTCTCCTTGGGTTTTGAGTCCCACTCCAGGCAGGAGAGCGAGGAAAGATGTGTGAGTCCAGATGACAGCACCATGAGACTGGCCTCCCCAACACAGTCTGTGCCCACAAGCAGCGGTTACTCTCCGACCGAGGAGAAACCTTTCAGGACGGAGGACAGAGAAGATGCAGGGACCAACGCTAAAGCTGATGCCCAGAAATCAGTCACTATCTCTGACAACACCTCCTTCATGGGACTGCCCGGTGACAAAACAGCCACTGAAGCCTCGGAAGAATCAGAGGAGGATGAGGATGTGGTTGTGGACGGGTGTTACGACAAAAAGGATCTAAAACCGACCGTCACGGCCAAACTCATGGAGGCGAAGGAGGGATGCTTCTTGGATGATGACTTCACCTTTGAGACGAAATCTGCAAAGAGCGAAACGGAGGTCAAGACTTCGGACAAAACACAGGTGTCAATCAGCATCACGGAGAAAACAAAACCTCAGGTGATGTACTCAGATGAAGAGGAAGATGAGGATGAAGATGAAAGAGATGATGATTTTCCAACTGGAGGAGGGTCCAAGCCCATATCAACAGATAGTGGTGCAGACAAGAGTGACGGCTCTTTAAAAGAGCCCGAGAGAAGTGTTCACTTTAGCCTCTATGACTTTCCTGAGAAGGAGGCCAAAGAGAAAGCAGTGTACATCAGACAGGACACACCCTACGTCCACGGAAAGACATTCTCCTACAGCGACGTTTACGACAGCAAGAACAGCTCCATGGACTCTGACTCCTACCGCCAGGAGTCTCTGGATAAAACAGACAAGGACCACGCCAAAGATGAGGGAGACTCAAAGAAACAGGACCTCCCCTCTCCATTGACAACAACAACCAAGACGCCAGTAACAGAAGGATTCACCTCCTTCTCTGCCTCCTCCTGGCTGGACTCTAAGAGCTCCTCTCCTCCGTTTGAAAAGGAAGTCAAAGACAAGGAGTTGTTTGATTACAGCTCAGGGAGCCGATTCCCATCAGTGGCTGATCGCCCCGAGGCCTCATCCACCTCCTTATCGTCAAAGAAAGACTTTTTGGCTGACGGCACAAAGCCCCTCACCTCCTCCCTGACGGACCAAGACAAAGCCGCCGTCACAGGCTACGGCGAGAAAGGAGCCTGTCTAGAGATTGACATGCGTAAGCTTACAGCAAGAGATGAGGAGGACTACGATGATGATGTTGTTGATGAAGATGATGATGATGATGAGGAGGAGGAAGATGAGGATGAGGATGAAGGTGCTGTTGATTCTGATATGGAAAAAGGGGCCAAAGAGAAGTCTGAGAAGGAAGTGAAGAGTCCATGCAGTGAGCTGCTGGGGTCTAACCGTCCTGAGTTCATGGTTTCCATGGCGGGGTACGGGTACAACAGCCAGGGGAGGCCCAGCCAGACGGACAGCAGCTACAGCTCCAACAAGGCTGACTCTGCATCCTTCAACCAAAAACCAACAGAGTTAGGGGCTACGGGATTCTCAGCGGGCTACTCCTCGGGGTATGAGTACTCATATGGAGGTGCTGTGAAGGACTCATTTTCAGCCAAGCAGGGTGTAGACCAAGGCAAAGAGGATCTCACTCTGAAATCCACACAGGACACTTATTACCAGAAAGACAGACCTGATCCTGAGTTTGAGAAGCAGAAGACCCCAGACCTTCTGAGTAAGACATCCCTAGACACAAGCTTCCAGTACACCACCACTGCGGGTCCTGGTTACTCCTCCTCTTCAGCCTACAGCTACTCCTCCTCCACCTCCGGCTCCCTCTCCACCAGCCGTCAGTTTGGAGAGGAGCTGGAGACGCCTGCAGAGCCCATCTTTGAGTACTCTTCCTTTAAAGATGAACACTCACCTGCTGTAGACTCTCCTTTCTCCAGCGCTGCTGCCACCAAAGATGACTACATAGAAGTGTCTGAAAAACAGATGACCTCTACCATCACCGCTGAGCCCTCCTCCGGTCTAGCCCGATTCACACCCCTCTGCCCGTTTGATGAGATCCCCTCACTTCCACCCACTCTGTTAGCTGGGGATAAAAAGGGTCCGGTCACTTCGTTAGGTGAAGACAGAGACAAAGGCCCTCAGTCAGACTGCTTCTATAAGCCTGAATGGTCTGAAGGGTCCAAGCTGGACTCAGCTGTTGGCTTTGGGGCCACAGCAGGGCCGTTCGCTCCTCCTGCAGAGTTTTCCAAGGACAAAGAGGCAGCCAGTGCAGCTCTGTTCGGGGTCACATCCTCACCGCGCCCTGACATCGAGGGTAAACATTACTTTGAGGAGACTGAGAGCAGCGAGGAGGAGGAGGAGGACGAGGAGGCCTACATGCGTGAGATGACTCGCAGCTCACCGTCCAGCACTCTGGCTGGTAACCTCTCATGTTCAGACAAGCCTGTTGCTCAGGCTTCTTCTGAAAAAATTGGAGGAGCAATGCCTGATGTTCTGGGCTCCTACACTGCCCCTGTACAGGTCAGCAAGCCAGACACCACCAATGGCCCAACAGAGGTCAGCTCAGGCTCCTCCCTCCCTGCTGGAGCAGCAGCCGGCGGTGGAGCATCAGGACCTGCAAAGGCAGAGCCCAGAGAGGGAGCGACAGGCTACAGGAGCTCTTACGAGTGGGAGATGTCCAAGAGCCAGATGGGGATGGTGCCTGGAGACTCTCCTCCACACTACCGTCACGATGACGAGTTTGAAGAGGAGTGTGAGATGGAGCCGGAGCACCCAGCCCGCCCACTCTCACTCTCCTCAGCTGACCAGCCGTTTCGCTCTCCGTTCTACGCTGAGGAGTGCAGCAGGGGAGGGCAGGATGACGATGACGATGATGATTATGATGATAGTGATCAGGATGTTGCTGGTCATGTTTCCATGGGTGCCACGTCCTCTTACACCAGTCGCTCCTCTCCTGGATACTCATCCTCTGAGTGCAGGCAGCGTAAAGAAGACCTCTCCCCATCCTTCATCAACCCCTGCATGCGGCAGTTATCGAGTGATGAGGATGATGATGAGCGAGGGCGTAGGAGTGACCAATCACAGGAGGGCGATGAGCACGACCTGTCTATAAAAAGAAGGGCTCACAAACAGCCTCATCATCATCAGCAGTCTCATAGCCAGGACAGCAGCTCTCTACACCGGGCTGGAGGCATGTCTGCAGGACTGGGGCTGGCCACAGAGGACACTCCGCCCACCTCCGTCAGCGAGTCTTTGGCCTCTCAGTCAGACTCTGATGGGCCCCCAGGTACTGAGGAATACCCCTCAGCTACCGGGGACAGGAACATGGACTCAGACGAGGATGCAGACTACATGCCAGTGGATAAACTATCTGCCACAGGGGGAGGAAGCCATCATTCCTCTAAGCGAAGTCCTGACCCTCCCCCTGCCCCCCTCATGGACCCTTACCCTCGCCCTCCACGCCCGGATGTGTGCATGGTGGATCCTGACTCTATCGACAATAGCTCTGTGAAGAAAGAGCCAAAAACCAAGACCCTAAAGAAAAATTCGGGGAAAACCAAATCGTCCTCCCCCGCCAGGCGCAAGAGGTCCCCCATGCCTGTCAAACAGACGGCGTCCCCTCGCAGCGCCTCGCTGAAGAAGAAGGAGGCTGACAAAAGCTCTCGTATGTCTCGACTGTCAGACGGACAGGGATCCAAAGAGGATGACCTCTCCAGGTCAAGTTACAACCCTGGCAAAGGACTGAGCAACGGGGTCAAGAGCAGTTCAGGTGAGTCACCGTCGGACAAAAATTAAAATCTAAATGAAAATTTGTTTTAAACCCAGTAAAAGGTTTGAAATGGAAAATTGTTCTTGGTTGTTTGTACAGTCTGGCATGAGCACGATTGAACCTGAGGGGGTCTCACCCCCAATTTCAACCACATCCTGATCGTCTCCTAAAAGGTCGTATCCTCCGATCGTAGCTGATCGTAACCATTCAAGTTAACGTGTCAATTTACACCGACTTCTTTCCGTTCCTCTGCGGATCGCCGGACTCCTCAGCTGATCACAAGAGTTCTATTTTTTCTGGACGCCGGAGCATGGCGGATAAATTCAGCACAGATTAACCCGTGCTGGAAAGGAAGTTGGGCACAGACACAAAATAAAACATCCGGCTTCTTTTCAAAATAAAACACTCCGTGTTTCAGGAGGATCGTATTTCAGTAGTAGCTTGTGTCTGAGAGAAATAAAAAAGGATATCGTCTGCATATAAAGATATTTGATTGGTTGTTTCTTTGGTGTTGTGCCCGATGATCTAACCTAACTCTAAGCTGATTTTAGGAGAGAAGTATTAGCTTTCCTTGTGACCTTCTGGCTCTCTGATCCAGGTTCTCAGAAGTCTGGTTCAGCTGCTGCTTCAGGTCTTCCTATCTATGTGGACTTGGCCTACATCCCCAACCACTGCAGCGCCAAGAACGTGGACCAGGAATTCTTCAAACGTGTCCGCTCTGCGTACTACGTGGTGAGCGGGAACGACCTGGCTAGTGGTGAACCAAGCCGCGGAGTCCTGGATGCACTGCTGGACGGGAAATCTCAGTGGGGATCGAACCTGCAGGTAAGACCTCAGACTGCATGGACCAGACTCTGAGACTAAATCTGTTTAAAGATGTACTGATACAGGATCAGTATGACCCTGTGACCCCTGGTATTTGTAATGCCTGTGGAATAGATCCATGCAAGGGCGGAGAATTGGGAAGGGGCGCTAGGAACATGTCCTTAACAGCTGCTACACTGTCATCCTATCAATTCAACCGCTGTCCGTGGTGTTTCATCAATGATTTTGGCTCACAAAGGGTTAACAGTCGGTCTCTGCTAGAAGCCCCGCCTTTAATCTGAATGTCGCTCTTCGATTGGCTGCCGGGTTGTTAAACTCAAACCTCCTCCCTTGAATCCATGTGGATCCACCGTGTCTGTAATTTGTAAAGACAGAAACTGCGGGACAACATCAAGTCCTCTGATCCAGTCCAAGTCGTGATGAGGAGGGGCGGAGTTATAAATGACGGTCCTGACCAATCAGAGGCTCTGTACTTCTGGACATGGAAAGCTGCTCTCTGGGGGGTCGAATACAGTCCAGCCATGTCAGCCCTCACATGTCCATCTCTCCTGTCTGTCTTAGGTGACCCTGATCCCGACCCACGACACAGAGGTGACCCGGGACTGGTACCAGCAGACCCACGAGAAGCAGCAGGAGCTGAACATCATGGTCCTGGCCTCCAGCAGCACCGTGGTCATGCAGGACGAGTCCTTCCCCGCCTGCAAGATCGAGTTTTAGGATGCTGGTGTGCTCCTGTCCCCCTCGGTTTTCGAAGGCTCCTCTCTTTGGTCCGTGTGTCGGTCTGTGTCCGCTCACAGGGACACATCTGGATTTTTACAGTTTGATTTATTTCTCAGCTTGTAGTGGCCGTTTCTGATTGGTCGGTTTTTCTGATAACTCCACTCCTTCATCGTCATGACTCAGTCTGTCAGAGGTCACAAACGAGTTCATTCTTATGATTTCAACCTTAAACACAGGAAGTCCGGGAGTGTTGTCCCGCGGTCTCATGTCAGGATTAATCCGAAGTTTCTAATTGGACTGAATCCAAGCACAAAGTTCTGCACCTTAAAGCTTCAAAACCACAGACTGATTCTCTCCCTCTGACCCGTAAACGTCTCATAGTAACATCGCTGACATTATCATCCTGACTCCATACTCGCCGTGACGGAGGCGGATCGATCGTGTTGAAGTTTTCCGCCCTGACTTTTCCGACCCCGTGTTTGTGAGTAGAAATGCGGTAGCATAGCGAGCAGAGCTGTTCTTCAGTGAGTCCTGATGTTTCTGCTGTTATCTCCAAGTCTAAATAATCAGCTGTCTCATGGTGGAGGTGTTTCTGACCGTCAGCTCATTTGGATTTTTACCGGTTTTGAAGTCTCCGAGGTTTTATTTTGGGTTTGACGTGGCTTTGACGGGCAGAGATCAGAGAGACACATCTTCATCCTGATACTTTCAATTTTAGTTCTATCTTCACACGGAGAAGAGCTCTGCGTCTTCAGACCTCATCACAGACTAATGGCGCATTAACAGATCTCTATGTGTCTGTAACTCGTGGGAACATGTGGCTGTGAGCAGAGTCAGAGTCTGATTGGTTAAAAGGATGATGCGTAGGTTTAGTAGATGGTCACATGTGCCTTTCTGTCCGCTGGGCTGTCTGAAGGTGTTAGTTGATGAGAGGCAGCTGATCCTCTCGAACTCCGATTGTCAGTTTAAGTCCAAACACACCACAGCATCGACCAGCACTCACTCAGTCACTCAGTCACTCAGTCACTCGGTCACACAGTCAGTCAGTCAGTCAGTCAGTCACAGGATCGACTCGGTCTTCAGTTCAGCTGGAGCGTCCGCCACAAGAAGCACAAACACACAGCAGAGAGACAAACTCAGATCACAGCTTTTCTATCTCCAACCTCTGCAGAAAATCTCCTCTGATTCCAGTTTTCGAGAGTCGATTGTCGCCACAATCACCTCCTCACTTTTGAAATTGCGTTGATCCGCTTGTTTCCTTCCTGCTGTGGTTTTTCAGTGGATGTTTGTAACTCTCACTTTCTGAACTTCTCCTTCGTGTGCGTCTGTGTTTCCTTTGATATCAGTGATTTTATATTTTGATAAGGTTTAGGTAATTTCAAGTTTTTAACCAGAAACACTGCTCAGACACTAACAGGACCAACAGGCATCTGCAGGTTTTCTCCGTTTGATGATTTTCAGGATCTTTCCCTCCGATCTTTCTGTCCGATTTTCTGTCCGATCTTTGATGCATGAGCAGCATGTTCAGAAAGATGGCGGCTCTCAGGGAGCCGAGCGGCTCCGGTTTGAATGTGAAGATGCAGATTACCTTTACCTCCTCCGCGGAGGACTTTAATCTCCTGGTTGCCTTGGTTACCGCGCATCATATGGTACATCTGACTCACATCTGGTCACACCTGCAGACACACATTACTGTCAGGATCATTTCTGACAGCAGAGGAAGTTTTTTCGGCGTCTGTCAGATTCTCAGGGCGGCCATTTTCCTCCGACATCATCTTCAACCTGAGCGAGACTTCGACGTCTGTTTCTGACGTCTCGATCGTAAAAAAGTGAAGCGATGCTCCGACAGTCCTTCACTGTTCGTCTGAGTTAAGCCCTGAAAAACCCGCACATGCTCGGAGGAGGGGCAGAGGTGACGGACTTTCTTAGCCCCTCCCACCAGAGATGCAGAAACAGGAGAAGGAATCAGAGAGAGGGAACAGCAGAACAAGCGGTTTTTGCCGTCTACTAATTCCTACTGGATCGGCTGAGGAGTCCGGCGATCGGCAGCAGATCGGAAAGAAGTCGGTGTAAATTGACACGTTAACTTGAATGGTTACGATCAGCTACGATCGGAGGATACGACCTTTTAGGAGACGATCAGGGTGAAGGTGTGCATGGGTAAAACAGAAAATGTGCACGAAAACGTCTAACTGGAGTTCAAAGTCTCCGCCCTCAGGGTGATGTCAGAGGAAAATGGCCGCCAGGTGAATTTTTTCATAGAGCGTCTGAAACAAGGTGGAGATACGGATGAATTAAAATGATTCATTGACAAAATCTCTGTTCAAACAGGGTTAACTGTGACATCACTTCCTGTTAATCCAGTCAGCCAATGAAACGCTGGCGTGTAATCTGCATTCCTGTTTAATACTGCGACACTTAACGGCGTCTTTATAACCCATCATCATCATCACCTGTAACACACCTGACTCAAACTGCCACAGACAGGTTTATACGTCCTGTTCCTCTCACTCTTTTACAGTCAGAGCTTCACACACACACACACACACACACACACACACACACACACACACACACACACACACACACACACACAGCTGTGTGTTCATATCCCGCTCTCATAGCCTCAGCGTCGTGCAGCAGCAGACGGTTGGCGGTTCCGGTGAGCCCTGCTTGTTCGTGCATGTGTACCTTTGAGTTGTCTGTATTGTACTAGCTGAAGACGAATCATAGAGATGTTATTTAAAGATTTAAGGATGTAATTTAAAGAGGCTGAGCTGAAGGAGGCACATGTAATAATAATAATAATAATAATAATACGGCTGTAATCCTTTCTTTTCCTTCTCTGCTTCATGCTTCTTTGCTCATCTCTTCTTTTAAGTGCAATATTCTCTTATCTCTTTAATAAAGTATAAAAAAAGATTTATTGTTAAAGGGAAAAAGTGTGATGAAGAACAATAAAAACATCATTTACTGAACTCCAGCGTCTCCCTCCTTTTACATCCCATCATGTTTGTTTCCTTCGACACTGATCAGGACTGGAGCGACTTCATTTCACCTGCTGAAATTATCCAAAGAGACACTGAGGTGTAAGATATCCAGCTGCTGTTGTTTCACATGTGTAGAAAACAGTTTGTTGTTTATTCTTCTTTTGTAAAAACAAAAACAAATTCAAAATAAAGACGAAGCAAATTTTCAACAAACGGTGACGACAGGATGATAAAGATATAGATGTAAATGATGTAGATGATGGTCAAAAAACTGTTTGCTCCTCTAGCTATCAACACACCTGCCGCTAAGACGCCCCCTGGTGTGGCACCAGGACAATTACAGCTGAAATATGTTTCAAAACACAAACCCAAAGAAAATACAGCAAATGACTCGAATGAGGACTGTTCAGGTTTCAGCTCTTCAGGTCTGCTCACACCTCCTGACTTCACTTAAAACACTAAATGTAGAATAAACCCGTCTAAGTCTAAACATGAGGTGGAGCACCAAAGGTCAAAAAACAACAGCCAGGTCAGCGGTCAGGTCTCAGTGAGGTGCTTCTTTTATTTATCAAAAATGTGAAGGGAAATCAACAAAAGCAGCGAAACTAAAGGAAGAAACTCCAGCCTCACAGCAGGCTGTTACCAAGCCCACACACACCCCCTCTGCTCTTTGTAAAGCTCACCCCGGCCTGATTGAAAACACCGGAGTGAAAGGGAAACCAGGGAAGAGAAATGTCATTAAACATGAAAAAACACCCAAATAAACTCAAACATTTAAAGTGGAACTCAAATGTACAACTTCATGTTAGATAAGGGGAGTAAGGATTCACTCAGTTTACTGAGAAAACCCACTCAGGAGATCCACGCTGACCACTCAGGCACAGGTGAACTCACTGAAGTGATCAGGGGCTGTGGGGAGAGTGGAGCTGCGTCCGAATTGCCAAGTAGTAGTCGAAGTAGTATCTAGCATGTCCGAATTGGCCACCGGAGCGAGTAGCATGCTACTTCAGATACTACTTCAGATACTAGACACGCCCACATTGTAGGTTGGTCTCGGTGCATCCTACGGGCATGCTACTGACCCAAAATGCACCGCGGGCTTCTTCTTCGTCCTCATAAAAGTTGGAGAAGCGCATGTGATGCTAGCGCCACCAGCTGCTCTGCCTATTTAAAAGTGTCGCGAACATGTTGCGGCAGCAGCAGGCGGGACCGCAGCAGTACAGATGTAAGTTTCATGTAACTTCACACTCTGTCCTAAAAAATGTGCGGTTGTATCTCTTTATCATGTCATGGTGTCATATTTGCCCAAGTAATCATTTTATGAGCAAATATGTGGCGACATCATGGAGGTAAAGCTCACTTATTCCATCATTAAACTGCACAGCTGCAGTACTACAGCCAGGCCCGCAGATGAGGGGCTTCAGTTACCGCTGTCTGCACGGGCGCAGTACCTACTATCTGCCTGCGGGGGTCGTCTTTCCCCACCGCTCGTCTAGTGTGTCCGAATTGGGCCAACGTGTTTAGTATGTAGGAGTAGGATCTAGCAGTAGTGTGTAGCAGTAGCATGTAGTATCCGAGTGGGCAGTTCGGACGCAGGTCTGGTGGAAAGGAGTTAGACTTTGAGGAACAGAGTTTATCCTCTTCACTGTAGAAACTGCCCATGAACCTCATGAACAACCTGCAGTCTGTTAACAGACATCTGCACATCATGAACAAACCTGTTTCACGTCCAAAGAGTCCTCTAATAAACTTCCTCACCTCTGTTCCACGCTCAGGTTCAGACTCGGGTTCAGACCTAGGTTACTTTATCTGTGCCTGGAGGTAGATTTGTTTTGCAGTTAGCCAATGATATCCATCGGCTAACTCCATTCAGTCACGAAAAAAGGAACATGAACAAAACAACACGGCAAAAAATTAAATAAAATAAATCACTGGGAGCCAGACCCCATTTATACGTACCCGGTAATTTTAAAAACAGGAGGAGCAGCAGCAAAGATCCCGGGAGACATCAGAGAACAACGTCAGTATGACCTCTAAAATCAGACACAGGAGATAGAGGTGGAGCTCGGGAGGAGGAGGGAGGAGCAGCAACAAAGACCTGACATCTAAAATCAGACACAGCAAACAAAGGAGGTGCTGGGAGGAGGCAGGAGAGGCAGCAGTAAAGACTTAACCTCTAAAATCTGACACAGAAATCAAAAGAGGAGCTGGGAAGGAGGCAGGAGGAGCAGCAACAAAGACCTAACATCTAAAATCAGACACAGCAAACAAAGGAGGTGCTGGAAAGGAGGCAGGAGCAAGGAGCAGCAAAAAAAGTAGAGAAATCAGACACAGCAAACAAAAAAGAAGCTCAGAAGGAGGCAGGAGGAGCATAGAGCTGACCTCTAAAATCAGACACAGCAAACAAAGGAGGTGTTAGGGAGGAGGCAGGAGGAGCAGCAGCAAAAACATCACAGAAACAAGACACAGCAAACAAAGAAGGAGCTGGGGAGGAGCAGCAGAGGTGACCTGACCACTCAAATCAGACACGGCAAACAAAGGAGGAGATGATGAGGAAGAGCAGCAGCAAAGACAGTAGACAAATCACACACAGAAAACAAAGGAGGAGCTGGGGAGGAGCAGCAGCAAAGACGATAGAAAAATCAGGCACCGAAAAAAAAAGGAGGAGCTGGGGAGGAGGAGGGAGGAGCAGCTGCTGCAAAGACAGTAGAGAAATCAGACACAAGAAACAAAGGAGGAGCTGCGGAGGATACGGGAGAAGGAGCAGCAAAGACCTAACCTCTCATATCAGACACAGCACAAAAAGGAGGAGCTGGGGAGGTGGAGGGAGGAGCGGCAGCAAAGACGATACAAAAATCAGGCACCGAAAAAAAAAGGAGGAGCTGGGGAGGAGGAGGGAGGAGCAGCAGCAGCAAAGACAGTAGAGAAATCAGACAGAGAAAATAAAGGAGAGGCTGAGAAGGGGGTGTGAGGAGCAGCAGAGATGACCTGACCACTCAAATCAGACACGGCAAACAAAGGAGGAGATGATGAGGAGGGAGGAGCAGCAGCAAAGACAGTAGAGAAACCAGACACAGTATCCTGGTCCGTCCGGTGAAGATCTGGTCTCAGTTTCTGTCCTAAAAATCCAGCAGACATCAGACCGAGAAGTTTGAAGGTGTTTTTTATTCATCTGAAGGTCACAGAAAACACCTGCAGCATGAAGCAGAACACAGAGGACTCTCACCTGCTACATTACAGCTCACCACAGTAAAAGCACATCATCGCCCCCTCCTGTTTGTTCAGTGATAAATCAGGTTTCACACTCCATGAGGTGATTTTACAAAAAATAGAGACGAGCTACGATCGACACGAAACATCTGCTGAGGTACAAAAATACCGGATACTCTACGATCGGAGCGCACGCTGAAAATAAATACCTCTACACAACCAACGCTGGACTCTGCTGAGACTGAAGGACTTTGGCTGTGAGTGCGCGCTCACACACACACACACACACACACACACACACACACACACACACACACACACACACACACACACAGTGACCTGCAGGTTGAACACAGCTCCACGTCTTGATCTTTGTCCTCACCGACCAACATTCAGAGTCACAGAGACACTTCAGTTTGTGCGTCCTGTCTCAGTGAGTCACTTCCTGTTCTCTTTTCAAAATAAGAGTCTGTGAGTTCCTGTATCCTGTAACAGAGATCCAGAGCCGTGATGATGGAGCTCCTGGTGGATGATGAGAGCTGTAACGGAGAGCACACCTTCACATACATATATATTTGTTTGTATATTCTCTCATTAATAATCGAACTCATGAAGAGTGCGTGAACCCGCTCCAGCTCGTGGATCAGACTCTCTGCAGCGGATGAACCCGGGTTTGATCCCCATCCTCGGTCTCTCCTCCTTCTGACAGCTCTGTAGTCTCTTTACACTCCAAACCTCGCTCCTCCTCCTCTCTGATTGGACTCTTTAAAACTCGGATTTGAGCGATTGTCTCTGTGGCGCCGAGGTCAGACTACACGGTTTAACACGATCAGGAGGTCACAGGGTCTCAGGACCTGCTGATCCTTTCTGGTCTAGTGTGTCGGAGAGCGCCCAACAGGAAGTCTCTGTCTGTCCCCTCAGGTTCATGGCGTTGACCAATAACGGCACAGAGCGCTCTGACT